GTTTGTAAGCATTCAGCAAATAGCAGCTTAATCTAATCTTTGCTCAAAACTATATCCTTCTGTAGTGTTCCTTATCCCTAGAATATCTGATATGTATAGGATAAGCTTAAATGATCTCCTTATTTTCCTTTGACAGCTATTCTTTATACTCTCAATGCTTAGATACAGACCATTGTTGTCTATAAAGCATAAAGAAATAAGAAAAAAAATGTAGTGGGATACAGTCCTTTGATTATCATAAATCCATTCTCAATCCCAAAATAATTACACTTTTTATGTCAAAAGCTTTACAGATCTACCACCTCAAGCAATATCTTACAGCTGTCAAAAATGATTTATGCGATAATGACTTAAAGTCCAAAATGGAGTCCTCAAAGGAAGAGCTGTCAAACATTTTCACTACAAATAATATTATTAAAATAAGAATTGATATTCTGTATAAGCAATATTTTACGTTCAACTATTAAAGAGATCATATAGTTATATAACTTGTGGAAATGAAGTTGCGAAATAGAGAGGAACATAGTGTGCAGCTGCTTTGATATCAGAGTATAATTTTTGAATTAAACAGATGTTAGTGCCTTATGGGCAAGATTAAAAAAAAATAATAATCTGTTCCAGAATAATAGTTCTTGAGTATTTATCTTTTATTTTCCAGAATAATAGTTCTTGAGTATTTATCTTTTATTTTTCATTAAAGGGATATTTACATTAAAAAAAAAAAAAATCTACAGAGTCTTTAAACCCATGAGTAGTTCCAGTGAGATCTTGTTGTATAATGAGAAACTACGAATTTAAACTCTTAGTTTCAGCATCCATCTGTTCCTATTAACCATTTTTCTCAGTAATCATTAATATTTTTAATAGCTAAGTAATTGTCTACGGTGGCAATACTCCAACATGATAGGAGATTAGGATAACTTGAACAATCTGGATTGCAAAAGTAGCCTTATAATAGGAAAAATGTGTGAGAAGAAATTCAAGAAAAATGTAGGCTATATTAACAACATTATTCTGATAAAAATACTGCAATGGGAATTAGTAAGGCTGTTAGCTGCAAATGTTAAAAACTTCTGAGGATGAGGCATCAGTATGGTTGGGACAGGGCTTGCTGGTTGTGTCAGTAATTCACCATTCCACATTCAGGCTACCTGCACAATTCTGTGAAGCCATCACAAATATTCTTCCCCTCTTCTCTACAATTTCCCCATTTTGCATGTCCCTTGTGAGTAACATATTTCTAAAACTATATTCTTTTTAAACTATTGTCTGCTGTATTTAAAGCAATGTAGATTCAAACAGCCGCCATTTTCTGAAGATCGGCCTGCTGCCAAAATTCTCTCGTTCTTCTGCCCCCTTCACACTTCAGTGTGTGACCTGGCCAAAAAATCAAAGCAATGAACAGCAGCATTCAATCTTGCATCATCAAGATGTTTAAAACTCAAAACCTTGCATTTTTTTTTCATCTTGGAGGCTGTAGAGAGTAGAGAATGTTAGAATCCTAACTCCTCATATGTATGAAATATTTTGCTTGTAAAAGAAGTTCCTTTTAAGTTGAAGTTTAAAGCTGAATCATTTTAAAACAATATTAGGTAGTATTTAATATTAGGTAGTATTTAGAACTTAAAAGGAAAATAATTAGTTATATAATGGTTCTCTTTTTGATCTCTGCTTGGTGGACTTCTAATGACAGTAATTTTGAAAGTGAGAGGATATATGATCCTATTCGTATTTGAAATACTAAAAAAAATGTTGTAAGCACTAAAATTTTAATATAATCAGCTGCTATACAAATTAAATGATGGTGTGGTAGGAAATAAGCTTTTATTTGCATTTGCATGTTTATTGAGGACTTTATAATAAAGCCTTCAGACACATCAGTAGTTACCACCTTAAGGCACTTGATACCTTCATAAGCTGTCTTTCTTATCTGTATGCTTAAGTATTATGTTAAGTACTGCGCAGTGGATATCTACGAAATATATCTGCACGTAATGCCAAATCAAACTTTCAAGCAGCAGGCAGTTCATTGAAGGAACTTGGGTTATTTATGTTGAAAAAGTTACATGTCTAACTGTGCTGGTATTGAGCTCTTAAAATATTTTCATATTAGCTCACACTACACAATGGAAAATAAGCAACAAACCAGGCACTAAACTCTCAAATGTTTAGCAATTTTGTTAAATTCATTCTGCTTCAGAACACAGAGAAAGTCTTTATTAGTTGTCGTTGCTCTGTGTGTTTTTCTGTATAAAACACATTTCCAAATTTTAGATGGAAAGCAAAGTATATATTTTTGGTAATTTATAATAGCTATAGAGTATGCTTACCAAAATATATTATATCCATCACACAAGCAACTTAAATTTCTTAATACCACATAAGCTTCAGAACTTTTTCTCACATTTTCTACAGAGATTGAACATTATGTGTACCAAACAGAAAATTCTATATATACAAATGATCAAGCTGTCAGGGAGTTATGAATTTGAGTGCCAGACCTATCTTGTATCTTGTCAATTTTTAACTCTAATCAGTGACTCAATATTTTAAATGAAATTTAATTGTTCAATAATTGTCAATATTCATTTAAAATTAGCACAGCATATAGTGCACAATAAATGAATTTCACATTTTGACCAGTAAATTTTTCAAGAATGTGTCTAGAAATATTATCCATAGCTTTTTGAAATTACCTAGCCTTTGAACATATGGTTATTTAAATCCTTCAGTTTAAGGAAACTTTTCACAGAAGTGAAGTTATTGAAAACTCTTGTGCATGAAATTGTTTACAGTGAATAATCCATTTATAATGTACTTCAAAACTCAAAAATATTTACAAAGAGTACGGCAATTTTTGTGGACAGTTTTGCTTTGATTTGCCTCAAATAGATTATAGTGTGTTGTGTGATGCCAAGATTCATCACATGTAGAAAAACACATATTAAGGTTAACCACTGGATAAACAGTACTTTAGTTAAGCACTTCCATATCCCTCAGTATTTTGGAAATCTGAAGCACTATTAAACAACCAGATCTCAAAACAATGCTCCAGGCTTGTGGCTGTGAAAGTTAGCAATGACATTCTCCTTTTGCAATATTATTTTTAACACATGCCAAGTTAACATAAACACAGGCTAGAAGTGTACAGACACACAGTGTCATATCTCTTGATAAATCTATGTTCAAGGCACAACTACAACAATCAATCTTGAGAAAAATCTACTACAGACCACCTAAGCAGATTTAAGAATAAAGGACTCTATTACGAATATGTTAAGAAGAACATTAAATATTGGTAGTGTGGGCAGAGTGAGTGCCCTGAGTCCTATCTGAATTATACCTGCCCAAGCTAAAAATAATATTACGACTCTCCGAGATAACAACAGAATTACTAAGAACATGGTATAACTCTGTGACTTTAAAATATGAGAGCATCTTTTGCATGTGATTCTAAAATTGATGCAAACAAAACACTGGCATTTCTCCAGAACTAATTTAAGCTCAGCATTTGAATATAAATTTCCTTTTCCTTCTCTCAAGAGCATATGCAGAGCAAGAGACAGAGTAAGATACACCACACATTCATTATTTGGATTTGTTTGAAGGACGAATGTTTCTGTAAATAACACTGGATAATGAGAAATAGAAAAAAGAGCCTAAACATAACTATTAGGTGTCGTAGTTAGTTTTCATGGGTGTGCATTTTTTGGTCAGCAAATACAGTCATGTATTCATTTCATGCTCTTTTACTAGGTAGAAAGCATCAGCCAGGCATATTTAGCCACTCTTCCTTATATCAGCAATATTGTTAACAGATTCTGTATCTCCACCAAAAACCAGGAACACTTCCTGTAGTTTAACCATTCACATTTTTCTTACTGCGCCAACATAATTCTAGGACAACTTCAAATATAGATACTCCAAATTCACAGTATTTCATCTCTTAAAAGGACATCTCTTTTTCTTTATAAGCTGATACTTTCTACATTATAGGTCAATTTTTTTTGCTACTTTCAAGCCAGATGTGTTTTTCCAAGTAAAATACTGCATTTAAATCAAGCAGTTGCATTGTGTGAGGCTGGCAGAGTTAAGACCTGAAACTCATATGTCATTTTTACTTTCTATGATCTCAAATAGTTCATAAAAATTAACAGTCACAGGATTCCTGCTTCCTGTATCTTTGCACTGTTGTAGGGTTGTTTACTATAGGAAATTTACACCGAATTTAAACCTAGAAAACTTTTGTTCAGCAGTCGCAGATGCAGTGCTAACCTCATTCAACTGTTACTGTCAGAATACACTGATATACTCTGTGCACCCACTATCAAGGAAAATTCCCTTAATACTATGCTGAAGTGTACTTTACTGGACTTCAAAGGAATTATACCACTACTCCAGGGAAAGGTTTGGCCAGCAGACCAGACATGATTTTACCACATAACGAAATACACAGAAAGTCTTGACAATAAAAACAGACTTTACCATCTTTGTGATAGTAGGTGACTTCCACTTTCCTCTCCTCTGACCCCAGCAGTGCTTGAGCAATTTGAGCAATGTGATGTCTTTTGGTCTCTGGTCCATGAAGAAAATCACAGGTGCAAGGTTTCTGCATGACATCTGGCCTGGAGAACCCAGTCATCTCACAGAACCCATCATTGCAGTAGATGATAGCACAATTCTGCACTCTAGCATTAGCAATGATGAATTTTTTATCTGCAATAAAAGAAAGTGATGCATTTTTTAGTACTCTTTCAACTTTTCATAAAGTGTTGATTGCACAGATGGATGCTAAACAACCACTCTTTTCACTGGGATGCCTGAAATGCAGTGATTTTTCAGTCATTTTATGTATTTAATTTGATCCACACATTTTAAAGCAACTTCAATAAATTTAGAGTACGTTAAAAGTGAAGATAGTTGTATTTTAAGGAAATAAAATCAGTCTGTGTGATTTTTCTCACAAAACTTCTCAACTTCAATTTTCTTTTCCTTTGTAGCTACAGTGAAACTTTGACGATGAGGAGGAAAGTGATGAACACTGTCCTGTCAGCCATGACTCCAGAGAAAGTCATTAAAAAGTTAGTATTTTTCTTTTTTTTTGGCGGGTGAAGGGCATAGCTGTGAATAAGAAGGGAGGGAGTTCTACACAATTGTGGAACTTCCTGTGAAAAAGAACAACCAGCTGAGTCTATTAATTAGGGATTTTAATTGAGTTGAGTTTATAGTCATTCTTTTAGCAAAACTATCTGGAAAAGAACATGATAAATTTTTGTTTTCTGTTTGTGTTTTAAAGTTACACCTATAAAAGAAAATATTCCTTAGCAAGAACATGAAATTGAAGGCACATCAAGGCAAATCAAAGGTTGTGGCATTTGAAACATTTTTTCACAGTCCACTGAAGCTCTGTGCCTTAGTCCAGCACACTTTTTTAAAGGCTCACCTGGGAGAAAAGTTCAAAAGTTGTCATTTGACAGTTATTACATTTGTCACCGTTTACCACTATAACCCACTACTCTTATTTTAATTATAAATATACTGCTTTGATACATTTATTGTCAGTAATAGTTCCCTCTCTTTAGAAGGGACATGATACCAAGGTAGCAGTTGTTTATATTCAACATACATACTCTACAACATAAAAACTACTCAAGTAGCAACATTAACTTAGCATTTGGTTAAATTAGTACTACAAAGACTGTCTCTATTTTATTCTCAAATAAAATAAATATTGAATTGCTAATGTGTGTCTAAGTATAAAGAAGTACAGAAGCTAGAGTTAGCAGTAAGGGTTTGCAGTAGACTGATACTAACAATATGCTAAATATTTAAATAAATGTACATATATAAAACTACTGCTTCTAAATGAAATTCATTTTAAGCATCAAGTGTTCCTTCTTACTGTTAACAGTAAACCAGAGTTCCAGCCAGGAAAACCACTTCAGCTTCAGCCTCCTTGACAGGTAGCAAACCGCTGCATTGGAAAAGATCTCAGAGACTCCCTGAGGATGCATTTGCACTGGTCTGATGGATATTTCAGGCTTCCATAAACAAAGCAAATATTTGACAGCTATATTAAAATGCAGTCATGACGATAAGGTAAGAATATTTTCCATTTAATATCTCCTTTGCATATTATTTGTTTCCTCTTAATCAAAGTCTGCTTGTTCTGCTGTGTTTTGAAAAGACACTGATAATTATTATTAATAATAAAATCAATAAATCTAACCAATTTTCCCAAGATTGTATAGACAAGCAAGATTGTAAACTTTGCGTTACAGCCATCTTTCTAGTTCAGAAAAAACGTAAGATAGAACTTCTGTAGTTATACAGTATAAATGCAATCAAAAATAAAAACTGTTAATAAAAATGGAAGGAAAAAAACAAACAAACAACAAAACAACACAATAATTCAAGTCAGTAATCTGCATTCTAGATCTAAAGCAGCGTTACTCCTGCAAGGGATCCCCTCCTCACCTCTGGGATTTTCTTTCCAAGTAACAAACTTAAAATAGTCTGGAGCTGCTGTCCATTTAGTCACAAGCAGAATCAAACTACTGTAGCAAAATAGATAGAAAGAGAGAACTTACTTTGCCCTTCAAATTTTCGTATGATTGTACCCAAAAATGTATTTTGTGGTGCCACATGGCCTCTGCGAACAGGCATGTTTGTACAGATCTTCGGCTTTCTGTGCACAAGGACTTCTCCAAGGATCTCCTACTCGGTTCCAGCTCTGAGCACCGAGCCAGCTACCCTTTGTGAGAAACCATCGTCCTCTGGAGCTCGGAAATCTCTTCCCATTAGCACCACTTCTAGACACACGCTTTTCCTATCGGAGTCAGATCCATCCCCCAGTTCTTTCTTTTTCTTTCTTTCTTTCCTTCCTTTCTTTCTTATTTTTTTCCCGGCGGACCGTGGACGCTATTGTCTGGGGCGGGTAGGGGTGGGGTAAAGCAGGAGGAGGTGGGGGAAAGATTACGAGGGTAATCGATCTCTAGCACCAAACATCGCCAATTTTCCAAAGCAAATGGCTGTGACCCGGCAGTTTCCGACGCTGTAGCGATGGTTAGAGGGCTGGAAGACTAATGTTGCTCCGCTGCCAGAGGGAGTGACGTTCCCCCCCTCCGGGTTTCACCACGGCGCGCAGCAGCTCGGATTACTCAAGCGTGGCTTAGCGAGAGCCAGCCAATAAATCTCTTCCAAACTCCGCGACAAACAGCGGCATCGGGAAAGAGCTACACCCGGCCCCGCCGCGACGTGCCGCCTCCCCCGCCGCCGCTGCAGGGGGAGCGAGGACCTGGGGCGGGGGGGGCCTCGCTGCCTCCTCTGGCCCCAGCGGCTCCGCCCGGCCCCACCGCCCTTCTCTGGGCTCCCGAACGTCTGCACGCCCCGTCTGCGGGTGGGGGCGCTACTGGGGATCAATATGCAGAAAAGGGACCACCGAGGCCCTCGAGATGTGCTCCCGTCTTAATGAAAAGGCTCGTCCTTTCCTCCTGCAACGTGACCCGGGGGAGGTTTTCCCCACGCCCCCATCTTGGCGAGGAAGGGGGAACTCTTGCTGCCGGGGGCCGGGCCGCTGCCGTTGCCTCTAAGGCGCACTCCGCCCGCCGGCCCTGGGCGCCACTGTTGGAGGGCCGAGGCCGGGGGTCGGACCCGGGACGGGCGCTGTCCGTGGTCCTGAAACCGCCCGGGCGAAGATCGTGGAGGCCCCGCTGCCCGCAACTCCCCCCGCGACTCCCCTCCTCGCCCTCTCGGGTTCTGCCACCCCACGCAGGAAGCTCACCAGGGAAGCGACTGTTATTTTAAGCTGTCATTAGGGCTCCCCACACTACCCAGCAGGCAGAACGGTGTGTGTTCAGCACGGTGAGGTGATATGAGGAGAGAGCTGAGAGCAGCCATGCGGTGCTGGAAAGGCATCTTCAGGGTAGCAACGGATTCTTAATAAACTCACATGGAAAAAATAGCGGGGCACCTGCTCCCTTTTCTTTGTAATACGGAGCACAGGATATTGAGCCGGCAAACCACCGCCTCCCACCTGTTCTCCTACAGCATAAGCAGGTGTTTCCTTATTCCCGTGGGTTTTTCTCAGGTGTTGCCTTTGTTTCACTGTTGGCGCGTGTCTTCCTCTGTATCTGTCAGGGGAGGGATGCAGTCTGTTGAGTATGTGGACATATTTCTTAACTAATTTCATTTAATCTCAGTGGAATCATTCTGGATTTACACAACTGTAAATAATGTCTGAAAATAGCGCCTATATGTACATAAATTGTCTTTAGAAGGCTGCATAGTAATTTACTGTATACTAATTATAAAGCCTCAGCTCCATTAAGTGGTGTGTAATCATGTACATAATCAATCTTAGGAAGTGGGTGTTGCTCACTTACAGATGCAAATATTTTAATTTAATTATATTCAGATATATAAATCAAAGGAATAACAACTATATGTATTGTTAGTAATAATAATATTTAAAGAAGTGTAACATTTTTGCAACTTTCTGATCAATGCTGGAGAATGAAATTCTGAGAGAATTTTTACTTGATTTTAACACAATGAAACGTGTATGAGGATGTAGGTTGATTTTTTTTAATCTTTCTGCTGTTTATCTTGACACCCACGTATTGCTCTGAAAATGTATTGAAGTTCCCAATAACAGCAGCAGAACTAGTGTACCTAAAGAGAGAGGAGCATACTTATTTTCATACTTGACATAATAACTAACATCTAGTCAAATCTTAAATGCCATCATTCTGATTTTTGTGTAAAGAAATGGTACCATTGTTTCTAAAACAGCAATAGAAAATAAACACAATAAAATTGTGACCTGTACAGAACAACAAATGTGTACTTCCAGTAGTTAACAGTTTGTAGCAAACTATGTCAACTGAGGAAACTCTGTAGGTCAGTTGAGTCCGGAGTCCTTCAGGTGCTTGGCTGGCAATACAAAAATAAATAAATAAATACATAAATTCAGTAATTCAGACCTCACAGAAGCCCCCCATCTAAGATAACCCCAGTCAAAACAAGATAACTGCTGCTCAAAGATAAGATCTGAAATGTGCTTTTTGATAGGAAATGAATTCACAAGAATGATGGGATATAATATCTACATGAGCAATAGGTGGCATTAGAAAATCTGTCACCACCATGATTTATACCCCTACAGTCCTGTAGATGCTCTGTTGCTCTTGGAGTTTTTAATAGTTATTTTGCATAAAGCTTTACAATTTTCTGTAGTAAGCCAACAGTGAGAGAAGTGCAAGATGAAAATATCTTAAAGTAGGCAATTTACTAATAGAGAGTAAAGTGATCATTTGAGAGAATTTACATTTGATTGGGAAATGTATGCATATAAGTGAAAATTTTGAATTCATCATAAATATGCCTCTCAACTGTGATAAAAGAAGAGGAGAATGCCACAGAGATCTTTGTTTTATCTCTAAAGTTGTGCAACTGCTAGCTCTGCAAGAGAGCAAAATACCGAGGGAGGGTGTCTCCTGAGCTAAGCTGTATCCAAGACGAGTGTTTCTTTGTCCTCTGCCCCTCATGGCACTGCCCTAGCCACAGCCCAGCCATGGCTCCCCAGTGAATACCACTGTTCCACAGCAAAACTGTGTATGGCATTTATTGGTCTCTATTGAAACAGAGATTTCAATGGTTTTGCTGACATTTTAACTACTTTCCTTTCAAGTTCCTTTGGAGAATTTACAGAGGTTTATCTCTGTAGATGTGCTATTGACCTATTTTGACATTTTAGCATTTAGCAATTAAACCTTTTATCTTGAGAAGAGGATAGCTGTGGGGAAATATCTCTAATCATATTTCCCATCATTTTGGTGAAAAAAAAAACACCAAAAAAACGAGTCATTCAGTTTCAGTTCGGTATTCTTATCATCCTTATCTATGCTTTTAACTCTTTGCTGCTCCAAGAGGCTCTCTAAGAGAAATGTTCTTTTCCAGCATAAATTATCTTTCTCTGTGTTCTGTTCTTTCTGTTTTATTGTTCTCCTGATTCTACAGCTTGCCCTCTTATAGACAGAAGTTTATTAGTGCAATCCCATTTGAATAAATACATCGTATATATATACTACTAAGTCATGATAGTTCTTTTGTTTTTGTGTTTTTTGTTGTTGTTGTTTTTGCTTGTGGATGTTTTTCCATTTTTCCAGCTAGCAAACTAGCATGAGATAACTGTGTTGCTTTGACACCAACATATCATGTGTGAACTGTCACTTATTCATCCATCTGTGCCTCCAATTTTAAATAAGGCTGGGAATGTCTTCAGGGCTGTTGAATGAAATATTGAAACTTTATCTCAGTTCCATTTTGTACTAAGATGGCCTTTGTGATTCCTTGACTGATTTATGTTTCCTAATCAACACCTTGTGTTTTTTTTCTCTCTCTTTCTTCCTTATCTTTTTTTTTTTTTTTTTTTTTTTTGTATTTAATGCTGTCTTTCTAAAATTTCAAGTTATAGCATTAGATTTTGTTTTAATTCCTCACAACAATAGTTATAATCAATTATATGATGACTGGCTAGGATTTAGGCACAGACAAAGTATGCAGTTACCTGAGGCAAGGGGCTGCCATATTACCTCTGTTGGAGAAGATAAATACAGTTGTTTGGACATAATGAGCAGCCAAACAGCAAATCTTTGCTGATGCTACTGAGATTATAGGGTGCAAGTGGTGACAGTTGCAGCTGCCATAATTGGCTCCTTCTAAAAGCAACTTGTCTTTATTTACACTGTGGTGATACCCTTGGATGAGTATATATTACACCCACGTAGCCTACATAACTGTCTAAATTGCAAAATGGAAATACTTCATTATTAATATTATTGCAAAATTCACCTTGAAATAGGTCTGATTATTTTATCTTGTGGTGTTTGTTTTTTTTTTTTGTTTTTTTTTGTTTTTTGTTTTTTTTTGTTTTTCCATTTTGTTGCTCTGAAAGAAAAAGCTTCTATTTCTGGCAAGGCTGCAGAAATGTAATTTATTATTCTATTTGGCCTTAAGGTTTACTTCTTCAATGTGTCTGCATTTAGATCTCATTAGTATTCAAGTTTTCAGCTGTCTCAATGAGAGGAAGGATATCA